AAAAAAAAAAAATCTTAGTCAAGGAATGTGTTGTGTTGAGGAATGTCAAAGCAGGATAGGGGCACTGAGTGAGGTCCCTTTCTGCCCTCACCTTTCACTGCTCAGAAGATTGACGATGATGCCAGTGTTCATGACCAGCTTCTCTGGGCGATTCACCTCAGTGGCCTGGATGACTTGCTGCTTTTCCTGGCCAGCTCACCAGCTGAACAGCAGTGGAGCCTCCATGTGCTCGAGATTATCTCCCTCATGTTTCGTGATCAGGTGAGACCCTGGCCTGTGGCCCCTGTCCTCTCCACCCATATACTTTTCTGCTGTGTGGCTGGAATTGCTCTTGTAATAATGACTGAATTATTTGGGATTTGAGTGCCATAGTGCCCCACCCTTGTGTACAATTTCACTTTCTGGAGATTTAGTTACCTGTAGTCTGAAAATAATAAATGGAAAATTCCAAAAATTAATAATTCATAAGTTAAAATTGCACAGCATTCTGAGTAGTGTGATGAAACCTCACGTCATCCCACTCTGTCCCACATGGGATATAAATCAATCCCTTTGTCCAGCGAACCCATGCTGTATACTCTACACCCCCCATTAGTCACTTAGTAGACATTTCGGTTGTCTCAGAATAAGAAAACTTAGTATGGGCTTGGTGCCTGTGGCTTAAGCAGCTAAGGCGCCAGCCATATACACCTGAGCTGGCAGGTTCAAATCCAGCCCGGGCCCACGAAACAACAATGATGGCTGCAACCAAAAAATAGCCGAGCATTGTGGCGGGCTCCTGTAATCCCAACTACTTGGGAGGCGGAGGTAGGAGAATCGCTTGAGCCCAGGCGTTGGACGTTGCGGTGACCTACGATGCCATAGCATTCTACCCAGGGCGACAGCTTTAGGCTCTGTCTCAGAAAAAAGAAAAGTTAGTATGTATATATAGAGTTCGGTACCATCCACAGTTCAGGCTTCCATGAGAAGTCTTGGGGTGCATCCCACTCAAGTGAAGGAGAACTACGGTACAGGGTCGTGTGAATAGTCTTGCTTTGTTCTCTCTTTCCATCTCTAGTAGGAGTAAGCTTAGGATAAGGAATGACTGTCCTGGTGACCTGCCCTTCTCATTTCAAATCTAGAATCCTGAGCAGCTGGCAAGAGTGGGGCAGGGACGTTTAGCTCAGGAGCGGAGCACAGATGTGGCAGAACTGGAGGTGTTACGCCAGAGAGAGATGGCAGAAAAGAAGAACCGAGCCCTCCAGCGAGGCAACAGGTGAGTGGCAGAGAGCTGCTCTACCCGTGTTCTTGTTCCTACAGTGTGGATTGTGAGGGTTTGGGGCAAATTCTAAGGTGGGTGACTGGGTGACATTTTATAGTTTTAACTCACTCTGGTGTGTTGATAAAAAAGAATAGAGATAAAGCTTCCAGAAAATTGAAGAATCACCTTGAATCTTTTCTTTTTCCCATAGACATTCTCGATTTGGGGGCTCATATATTGTCCAAGGGTTGAAATCCATTGGAGAGAGGGACCTCATCTTTCACAAAGGGCTTCACAATGTGAGTATTCTCACATTGGGGTAGGAACATTGTGGAGTTACAGGGCTTGAGAAGGGTAATCATCTCTGGACTTAAAGTTTCTTTGTTCTTAGGCTTAGGAAGTTGATGATGGTGACAGAAACAGAGCCTCTGGCGTTAGCCACACTGTCTTCACCTATATCTTCCCTTAGTACCAGAGGAGACAACCTTCTAAGAGTTTATTCTGAGAAAATTGACAAGAGCTATCAGGGGAAAGTGGTGGTTAGGAGTAATTATAACCCCCACCTATACCCCCAGCTTCAAAACTACAGTACAGACTTGGGAAAACAGCCCCAGAGGGTACCTAAACGTCGCCAGGCTGCCCGGGAACTGTCTATTCAGCGCCGCTCTGCCCTCAATGTGAGGCTCTTCCTCAGAGACTTCTGCTCTGAGTTCCTAGAGAACTGTTATAACCGTCTCATGGGATCAGTAAAGGTGAGAGCTGAGGAAAGATATAAAGATAATCAGGGGGCTCAGCGCCTGTGGCTCAAGTGGCTAAGGCGCCAGCCACGTACACCCAAGGTGGCGGGTTCGAATCCAGCCTGGGCCCGCCAAATAATGATGGCTGCAACCAAAAAATAGCCGGGCATTGTGGCAGGCGCCTGTGGTCCCAGCTACTTGGGAGGCTGAGGCAGGAGACTCGCTTGAGCCTAGGAGTTGGAGGTTGCTGTGTGCTGAAATGCCACAGCACTCTACCCAGGGGGACAGCTTGAGGCTCCTGTCTCAAAAAAAAAAAATAAATAAAGATGATCAGGGGTGGAATGGGGCCAGAAAGGGGTTGGGGCCAGTAGTGGGTGGGAATTCAGGGGGAGGCTGAGGATGTGAACTGGTAGGTAGGGGAGGGTATAAGGACCAAGATGAAAATATTAAATAGAAAATTCCAGAAATTAATATTTAGGATGCCAAGAGGGGAAGTGAATTATTGGCATGACAAGAGGCTCTGGAGAATCCGACCCAGAGGATGCGGAAGGGAAGAACAAGAGAGAGTTGGAAATTATGGATCCTAGAGTATTATTAGAGTGATGTCCAGGGGCCACCCCATTGTCACAGACAGGAAGAAGCTAGAAGCCCTGAGGTCATGGTGGTGGTTTTTTTTTTTTGGCTGTTAGGATCATTTGCTTCGGGAGAAAGCTCAGCAGCACGATGAAACCTACTACATGTGGGCGTTGGCTTTCTTCATGGCCTTCAACCGAGCTTCCTCTTTCCAACCAGCCTTGGTCTCTGAGACCCTCAGTGTGCGCACCTTCCACTTTATTGAGCAGAACCTTACCAAATACTATGAGATGATGCTGACTGACCGCAAGGAGGCTGCCTCCTGGGCACGCCGGTGAGTGGGGTGGTTATTGGGGTTGGAGCGAGCATCTTGGCCAGGCTGGGAATATGAATACCCAAATTCTAGGTGATACCTAGGCAGGTTGGGGGGCAAGGACTGGCTGGGAAATCCTGTTTCAGGTGATACATTTTTGGGGGCAGGAGTGTATTGCTATTTCCCTGAGCCAGTGCCCTAAGTTGTCTTCCATTTTACTTCTTTATCTGGATCACAGGATGCATCTGGCTCTAAAGGCCTATCAGGAGCTGCTGGCCACAGTAAATGAGATGGACATGTCTCCAGATGAGGCTGTGAGGGAGAGTAGCCGAATCATCAAGAGTGAGGCCCTCATCTGGCCCTGACCCCAGCCTGCCCCACCTCTCAACTGGAACCTCGTTCTTCTCAGTCCCAACTTTATCTGCCTTTTCCCGAGCCTTCCAGACTAGTCTTTTCCATTCTCTTCTCTTCCCTGTTTCTAGACAACATTTTCTATGTGATGGAGTACCGAGAGCTATTCCTGACTCTGTTCCGAAAGTTTGATGAGAGATGTCAGCCTCGGTCTTTCCTTTGTGACCTGGTGGAAACGACCCACCTCTTCCTCAAGATGTTGGAACGCTTCTGTCGCAGCCGTGGGAACATGGTGGTGCAGGTACTGGGCAGCCCCAGGATGTAGAAGGAGCTGAGACAGTGAAGGACAGACAGCTCTTTCTCCTAGAATTTTCTGTATCTCAAGCTGATCTGTAAGAACTGCCCTAAACTAAGAGGGCAAAGAGATTTGTTGGTGTTGCCAGTGTGAATCTGCCATGATTTTTATCTTCTGTTAGATTAATCCCTGATCTTATGTAAATGTCTTAATTCATTCAGGAAACATATTGAATACTTATTAAATGCCAAGAACATACACCCTAGGGAGTTATAATTTTAGAATTTAGCCATAATGCTTTAGAATTTACCCATTGTGGTAAGACGGAAAGAACTTGAAATTGAAAGTTAGGTGGTGGGCTGGGTGTGGTGGCTCATGCCTGTAATCTCAGCACTTAGGAGGCCAAGGACTGCCTGAGCTCATAGGTTTGAGACCTGCCTGAGCTCATAGGTTTGAGACCAGCCTGAGCCAGAGCGAGACTCCATCTCTAAAAATAGCCTGGCATTGTGGTAGGTGCCTGTAGTCCCAACTACTCGGGAGGCTGAGGCAAGAGAATCGCTTGAACCCAAGAGTTTGAAGTTGCTGTGAGCTATGATGCAACAGCACTCTACCGAGGGTGACCAAGTAAGACTCTATCTCAAAAAAGAGGCTTAATACCTGTGGCTCAAGTGGCTAGGCCAGCCACATACACCTAAGGTGGTGGGTTTGAATCCAGCCCAGGCCTGCCAAACAACAATGATGGCTGCAACCAAAAAATAGCCGGGCATTGTGGCAGGCACCTGTGGTCCCAGCTACTTGGGAGGCTGACGCAGGAGACTCGCTTGAGCTCAGGAGTTGGAGGTTGCTGTGAGCTGTGATGCCATAGCACTCTACCCATGGTAACAGCTTGAGGCTCTGTCTTAAAAAAAAAACAAAAAAAGTGGTCTGGGATCTAGTGTTTGTTACTACTGGAATAAACTCAAGGTTGGGTGTGGTGGCTCATATTTGTAATCTAAGCATTTTGAAAGAGTCAGGTAGGAGGATCACTTGAGGCTAGGAATTCAAGACCAGCCTCAGCAACAAAGTGAGACCTTGTCACTACAAGATATTTAAAAATACCTGGTACACACCTGTAGTCCCAGCTATTCAGGAGGCTGAGGCTGAGGTAGGGGAAGGGTTGCTTGAGCTTAGGAGTTCTAGGTTGCTGTGAGCTATTTTACACTTAGGGCTATATGGTATTATGTAGTAACAGGTGCTATCACAGTGGGTCAGACACTGTCCTAAGGGTTTTTTTTTTTTTTTGCAGTTTTTGGCCAGGGCTGGATTTGAACCCACCACCTCCGCCATGCCCTACTCCTTTGAGCCACAGGCACCGCCTTTTTTTTTTTTTTTAAGAGAGAGAGTCTCAGAGTCTCACTTTATCGCCCGCGGTAGAGGGCTGTGGCGTCACACAGCAACCTCCAACTCCTGGGCTTAAACAAGTCTCTTGCCTCAGCCTCCCAAGTAATTGGGACTATAGGCACCTGCCACAACACCTGGCTATTTTTTGTTGCAGTTTGGGCAGGGATGGGTTCAAACCCTCTATCCTGGGCAGCACCTATGGCTCAAAAGGGTAGGGCGCTGGCCCCATATGCTGTAGGTGGTGGGTTCAAACCCAGCCCCTGCCAAAAAAAAAAAAAGAAACCCTCCACCCTTGGTATATGGAGCTGGTGCCCTACCCACTGAGCCATAGGCCCCTCCTTGTGCTAAGGTTTTCATATAAAGCTTACAATACCAATAGGGCTTATACAAAAAATCATTAAACAACTTTTCCAAAGTCTTGTTTTTTTTTAGACAGAGCCTCAAGCTGTTACCCTGGGTAGAGTGTCGTAGCATCACAGCTCATAGCAACCTCCAACT